CCAGCAGCCGCTCGGCCTCCCTGTGGGTGACGAGGGGCAGGGACCCGGCTGTGACCTTCTGGCTTCGCCTCGTGCCTCCTCGGCTCTCTGGAGAGACCCCGAGCCAAAAGGAAAAGCCGGGACCCCAGCCTGGCTCCGCCCGGCCTCACCCCGGCAGGGCAGCCTGGGAGGTTACCGGACTCCTAGACCTCGGAAGTCAGGGGGCGGGGGAATTTAGCTCAGTGGTTCCACCACCTGCCTAGCAAGTACAAGGAGCTGAGTTCGATTCCCAGTACTGGACTGAAGAGGCGACGATAGACAGACGTGGAACTGAGCATGGAGGAGGAAAGAGGATCTGCAGGGGCTGAGTGAAAGAGGAGCCAGAGACCTGGACTTGGGGCTGCCTGCTCTGGGAGCATGGAGTGGGAGTTACTGCGAGGTCGAGCGCAGTTCTGAAAAGGGGCTGGGGATAAAATCTCAGTTGCAAAGGCTGTGTGCACCTGGAAGGCTGAGGCAGGGGGATCACCGAGTTTGAGGCCAGCCTGGACTACATAGACATATATTAGGGAAAAAGAAGAAAGGGTCGAGGTACAGAGAAGTAGAATATAGGAGGACTAGAGCTGAGGATAAGGGAACCTACAGAGGGGAAACAGGAATAGAACGGCCTGGCCTGGAGCCTCCTGACCCTCCCCAGGGAAGCCAACTCAGCAGAAGGCCTGGGAGCCCAGGAACCCCGGACCTGCGTCCCCCTCTGGGACTCACCTTCTGGTGATGAAGCCATGGAACCAGGTGGGGGCTGCCCCACGCTGCAGCAGCGAGCGGGCCTGTGTCTTCTGGAACCAAGCCCGGGTCTCGGCCTGCAGAGACAGGCTGCCTTCCCCAGGCACCTCTTCTACCTTGTCAGACCCCAGGGCCCGGGCAAGTGCCTGGGTTGGGGAAGGAAGAGTCATGACTTGTGGCCTCGTTCCCTGGCCCCTCCTGCTTTGGAGGGTAGAATTGCCCGGAAAGAAAGCCCTTCCCCAAATCCCTTCCCAGCTGCATCTGTTTGGTTTCCAGGGACTTTCCTCCCTCTTCCCCTAACCCAGCAGCAGTGAGCTATTGTGGAGAGGGAGAGAGGCAGCCAGGCCTTCCTGGTGGGCAGAACATCTCTTCCCAGAGGCGGAAGCTTCCCCTGCAAGAGGAGGGCTGTGTGGCTGGCAGAGAAGGCCCTGGAGAGCTGGAATGAGGACGAGGACGCCGAGGAGCCAGAGACCCCGGCCCCCTCGAGCTGAGCTCCCAGGGGCCGGGAAGGGGCCTTGCTGGGAGGGAGGGTCCGCCCTCCTTTCCGCCCCTGCAGCCCTAACCCTCAGTGACCTTTGTACAAATGCACGACCGACCCACCGCACTCACAGGGGGCAGGAGCAGGTGAGGGAGGCACCCCACGTCCCGTATTCCTACTCACCGAAGTGTGGACAGCCAGGGTCCTGGGGCCGGGCTGGGCCTCTGCTGCCCGTGGGGACTGGGGCGTGGGCTCTGGGAACAAGCCCAGGCCCTGGCAGCTCCTTCGGGCCTCGTCCATGGGCTGGCTGGTGCTGAAGGTAGGGGCCGAAGCTGTGAGCACAAAGGGGGCTGGAGTGGCTCTGTCCCCTCAGAACAGATGGTCGTGGCGAACAAGTACAGGGGACAGCGGGACATTTCTCAGAGTGTGGGGGGGAAGGAGCAAGCATCACAGAGGGGCTGACCCTGCCCGGGGTGCCAGCGAGGAGAGCCCGTGTGGCTCAGTAGTGCCGGAGAGAGGCAGAGCTCTTCCGACAGGTCCCTCTCCTGGCTCAGGGTCCTCTGTTGGCCGCCCTCCTGTCCCCTCCTCTCTAAGAAGCCCTCAGCAAACCCTGTTGCCTTTCTCCTCCACATGAGTGGACGTGGCCTCAGGCGGGAGTGGGGGTCATGGGCATTTGGCAGTCAGCCTTGCCCGCTCCAGTCTGGGCTGAGGCCTTTGATGTCTTGCCCCCCACGTCCCGGGGCTTCATGCTTACCTTGGGGACACATCTGGGCCAGGGGCGTCTCCATGGGTGCTGTGTATGCCTGAAAGGTGTGCACAGTCAGCAGCTCATCTCTCTGCTCACCCTGGGCCCCGGGGACAGGAAATGTCGCTTCAACCACAGCTCAGCTCCACAGAGGGCCCACGTCACGGAAAGCCGGAAGACACTTGTCCTGCCCTCAAAAGCCAGGCCCTAAGGGCGATGTGGGTTTGTGTTGCTCTGGGTTTGGGTGTTGGGAAGTCCTCCTGCTGTCTGACCTCCATCCCTCCCGATTTTTTCCTTGCCTCCTTGTTCAGATAGGCTTTGAAGGGTGCCCGGGCTTCTCAGAGATCCATACTTTTATTTTTTCAGGCAAGGTCTTGCTATGTGCAGGCTTTCAGTGCAGACTGCCTGAGTGCCTCTGCCCTGTGTATGGGCAGCTCTGAGCCTGCCCTCAGACTTGCCACGAACCTGCTGCCCACTCTGTATTTCCACGCTCACTGAGTGCTCACCACCTTGGCCCTGCCATGGGCTCTCTGAAGTGTCCTTGGTCTGAATCCGTTCTCAGCCCCACCTGTCTGTTCTGATACAGTGCACGTTCAAAGCCCCTTTCTCTGCCCTCTTCAGAGGGGGATGATGATGCCACTGAAATGGTCACTCAGTTGTGACCCGAGTGGCCCAGTTTCATGGCAGATACCCAGGTGCTGCCCTGGGCTGGGGCATGCCTCGGCTTGGCAGGGACGAGAGGAACCCAGGCAGTGTGGCCCTGGCTGGAAGGAGGCAGGCTGCTGTGGGTGGGGGTAGTGTACCAACATCTGTCTTGTCTTCGGCCTTGACAGAAAGCTGTAGAAGGCAAACCACTCACAGGCAAGGCTTGCACAGTGTGTTGGTGCCGGGCTGGGGGAAAGCCACAGTTTCTCCTGCAGAGAGGGCTGTCTGAGTATCTGTGACCCGGTGCCTGCCATCCCAGCTCCCTAGGAGGCCTCTGTCCTGTCTCCTTGCCCCTACAAAGACATAGCAATTGTTCCCAAGCTTGGCAGGAGTGGGGCAGGAGTGGGATAGGAGACTACAGCCCCCAGCACCCTCTGCTTCGGTGGTGAGGCCGCCAGTGGCCTGAGACAGCTCTGAGGAGATGGTGGCTAGACATGCCGTTCTCCTAGTTCATTTGTCTACCCCGTCCTCCACCCTGCAGCCAGCTGGAGGTTACTGAATTATTAATGGTCCAGTTCTGTCTGGATCTGGGAGAGGAGAGGCCAAGAAGGGTGCTTGTGGACTCTTAGTCACTGCGTTTCCCCTTCCTCCTCTGTGGGAGGTGCCCATTCTCCCTCCCAGGAACCTCCTGCCTGCCTCCAGCTGTCCCTGAGCAGAAACACGGGCATCCCCTCCACACAGCTTCCTGATGATGTCCATCCCTCCTGATGTCCATCCCTCCTGATGTCCAACCTCCAACTCGCTTGCTATCCTGGCAAATCCACTTCTTTCTGGGACACAAATACAACAGTTTTGTCTATGAGCTTCCCCACACCCCGCTCAGTTCTGGGCCACCAGCCGCCTCCTCCTGGGAGGGAGCCTGGCCAGTGTTTTTTCTTCCTGCGGCTCCTCCTGGTGCTGCCCGCCTCCCTGACGGTGCTCAGGCTGAGGGGTGGGGGCCCTGTGGGGAAGGGGCTGACCCTATCGTTGTGCCCTCTGCCAGTAGTCTGTAAGAGTAGGTGTGCCTGTGTGCCCGGTGTGAGTGTGCACATCTCAGGCCCGGGTCTGCTGTGAGAAGTTCCCTCCCTTCTTCTCTTCCAGAGGCTCAGAGCGACCAGAAACGGCCTTGGGGATGGCAAAGCGGCCTCTTCTCCCATAACTGCAGTTCTACTGCCAACCGTTAGGGGTCACTGTTGCTTCAGTCGTCAGTGCCAGGCCACAGCAGCCCGCGGAGGGAGCGGCTCCACACGGGTGGTCCTACCCAGCCCCTGACCTTGTTGGTGGAGCAGGGTGTATGGTAGCCATGGCCTCGCCCAGATTCATGTCCTGTCCCCTCAGGCTCTGCCTGATAGCGCTGTGGTGTGCAGGACAGCTGCTGAAGCAAGGGTGTGCAGTGCTTGTGGCAGTGGGTAGCAGGTACTTCAGGTGCTGTGGCCCCTAGGACCTGGCTGCAGGGAACTAAGGAGCCCTAGGGGTTCAGGGTGTAACTCATGATGCAGTGTGTGCAGTGTGTTTGAGGCCTGGGGCTTGATCTCCAGCACCGGGACATCAGAAAGCCCTGAGCTGTGACCAGCCCTGGTTTCACCCTTCACTTGCACCTGCAGATCCCCTGGCACTAACACAGAAGCCTAGAAAACCTGGCTTCTAGGGGTGGCGACAAGGCGTTCTTCTGCTCGGGAGACAGAATGCGACTGCAGCCTACTGGAGTAGCCACAGGGAGTCAGAGCCAGACTCTACCCTGGGTGGGGGACATCTGACGTGGACAGGTGATGCCACAGGGACCCTCTCTCACTCCACGCTGTGCCCTGTGACTTCATGGAGGAAACACCTGCCCAGTGCCTAGATATAGCAAGGGACAGGATAAAGATGAGGTGTAGGAGACTGGGAGGCTCTGGCTGGTCAGCAGATACGAAGGTTCCCTGCTGGGCTCAGCCACTTCTGGCCCTGAGCGAGAGATGACAGGGAGATTGTGCTGTCTCACTGCCATGGCAACCCCAGCTGCTCAGGCCTTGTGGATGTGGTGTTTGACAGCAGTGTATTTATTCTGTGTCATTGCCTTAGGGTCACCACCCCAGGTCCCGAAGAGGGAGACAGGATGTTCATCTGGTCCTAACACCGTACAGATGGAGAGATAATGGGCTGCCCAGGACCAGGGCACCGAGAGACCCCCAGCGTTTATTGTGTGTTCTCTAGTCTTCCCTTGAGAGGAGGGGTGGGGGTGGGTGAGGGGAGGAGAAGGACAAAGCTCTTAAGGCCTTAATGATCAAGGCTAATAAGGACGGAAGACTGGGAAAAGGGGCAAAGGGACACCAAGGAACACCCGGGGGAGGACAGGAGGAGCACCAGCACGGGGTCCCGTCGGGTGAAGGGAGGGGAGGCGAGCACAGGCCCCAGCCCTGCGGTGTGTAGGGCAGAGGGGCGGAGGCGACCACCGTGGACAGGCGACGTGCACATCCAACCCCAGCATCCGCACCGGGGGCCTGGAACCGGGCTCGGTGGCTCATCTTTCAGGCATGTTGATGTCCCAGAGGTGTGAAGGAGACCCCGAGCCGGGGGTAGGCTCACTGGGGCAGTGGGCGCCTGTCCACCATCTAGGCTACACTACGCCTGCCGAGGCCTTGCCTGCTGTCCTGGGAGTGTGGTCTGAGCTGACCGCACCCCCACTCTCTGTCGCACTCTTGGCCACCCCTGCCCTGTCTGAGCTGGGAAGGGAGTGAGCACCCGGACATTTCACGCCACCGAGCTTCCCGTTTTGCAGGCTGCAGTCTGCGGCCCCTTTTGAGGTTGGAGGGGAGGTGGGCTCTGCATCGATGGAGGGCAGGGGGCTGTGGCCCCCCTGGCACTCTGGACTGTAGTAGAAGGAAAGGAGGCGGAAGGAGGGCCGAAGCTCGTCCTGTATGCTGTCCAGGATGTGGGTGAAGGTGGGGCGCAGGCGTGGGTTCTGCTGCCAGCAGCTGCTCATCAGCTCCTGCCTGGAGGGAGTGAGGACAACATCAGAGGGGGCCCAGAGCCCGGGCTGCTCCTCCTTCTCCTGCCCAGGGAGGGTCAGCAGCAGTGGGGGATCCTGGGGCAAGGGATCTGGAAGTGCCCAGGGAGTAAGGGGGACACAGGGGAAATTCAGCTATGGGGGCTCATAGCAGGGATCAGGGATGCAAGCCAGAACCAGGAGTAGGGGTGTGGGCAGGGAAGGGAGTTGGAATGCTCACAGCTGAAGGGGACAGTCCTCCAGGTCCTCCAGAACCCCGCCGTCCAGGACAAACTTGAGCACCTGCTCGTTGGAAAGGCCTTGGTAGGGCTGTTCAGCCAGGGTTACGATCTCCCAGAGCACCACGCCGAAGGACCTGGGGGCCGTGCAGGAGGCCTGAGCCCAGCACCCTGGCCCCTCAGCAGACCCCGAGGAAGGGGAGGGGCCCAGTGCCCTTGCCAGCACCCTCCACCTCCCCAGAGCCCTCTGGTTCACCAGGCCCCACCAGACATCCGAGTGTGTGGTGAAGATTCCGTCTTTGAGGGACTCAGGGGCCATCCAGCGCACAGGCAGCAGTCCTTTCCCACCCTTGCGGTAATAGTCTGTCTCGTACACGTCCCGGGTCATCCCAAAGTCTGGAAGGTGATGGGGAGGGGTGTGGGAGCCCCTGCATCAGAGCACCTCTGCCAAACCGTCCCAACCTCCACAGCCTCCAAGGTTCCTGGACACGGGGGCTGAAAGGACCTCAGAACTCATCCATCCAAACTCCTCTGCCTTGGACCAGGGAACTGAGATCTGGGCGTGGTGACATGCAGGGAAGTTTGCACAGGGCACCAGGGACAGAGCCGCAGGCTGGGCCGGGCCCCTGTGCCTAGATAAGGGAGTCTCTACTCTCCAGGCTGCCCTCATCTGCCTGCCACCCTCGGTACTCCCAATCTGCCCGGTAGCCTCTGTACCCCCAATCTTGACAGTGAAGTCCTGGGACACCATGCAGTTGCGGGCGGCCAGGTCGCGATGCACAAACTTGTTGGCGGCCAGGTAGGCCATGCCATCTGCGATCTCGCCAGCCATCTGTACCATGTCTCCCAGGGCTGGCCGCGGGAGCCCAGGGTTGTTCTAGGCCAGACAGGGGCAGGTGAAGCAAAAGCCCACACTCCTGTCTGGACCCAAGACCAGCCCTGTCCCCACAGCATTCAAAGGTCTTCTCAGACTCTCCATCCTCCTGGCCCAGGGTCTTCCTGGTCCCCACCTCAGCCTCAGGACGTAAAGAGCGAAGGTGGCTCTTAAGGTCCCCACGGGTCATTAACTCCATGATGACCAGAGTTGGCTGGCCCTGAGACACCACGCCCAGGAGACGCACCTGGGAGGGGTAATACAGACAAAGAGCTTGGTTGTGGTTCCACCCATCCTGCCTCCACCGACCTGGTTCAGAATGTGACCTGCTGAGCCCACAGTGTGGCCCAGACACTGCCCTGATCTACCACCCCACTGAGACTGCAGCACAAATCAGGGTTGGTCACCTGACCCAATTTACAACCTGGGTCGAGTCTATCATCTGGGCCGTGACCTCGGCCCCACTCTGACTTCAGCCGTGGCCCTAACAGTCCTCTGGCCTCTCAGTCCTGATCTCAGCTCTCTCCATGACCCATTGTGACTCTGCCATGCACCTGTGTGACTCTAACCCCAACCATGGCCTCTGCCCCATTAGGGTCCTAACCGCAGTCCCAGCCCTGACTTTGATGAGGCCTGACCTCATGTCTGATCCTTGCCCTCTGACCTCATGACCTCCACCCTAATTCTGACCCTGAGTGTCCTGACCCCTGCTTACCACGTGGTGACACTTGAATGCCTTCATGACAGAAGCTTCCTTGAGGAACTCGATGCGTTCCCGGGGGCTGGCCAGCTCATTCACCGTCTTCAGGGCCACCGGCGTGGACTCCTCTCCAGCCTCCAGTCCTCGTGCCACTCCCTCATAGACCATCCCGAAGGAGCCCTGGCCCAGCTCCCGGATGATGGAGATCTGCTCCCGGGGCACCTCCCACTCATCAGGGACATACACTGGGGGAGGTGGGGTCACAGGCAGGAGCTGCTCTCTGTCACCTCCACCCTTCTTGGCCTCTATTTCTGAATCACTCTTGTCCTAAGGCCTCCTCTTCAAAAAGGTCTCCTGGAAGCCAACTCTCCTCTGCTGTCTCCCTCCCCACAGACCCTGGCCGCCCAGCCCACACCTACTGTCGGAGGCGCTGAAGTACTCCGGATTCACAGAGGTATACAGGGTACCATTTCTGCAAGGGAGAGCAAGGGGTCAGGCTTGAAGGGTCCTCAGGAAGAAATGAGCAACGCCAAGGACAAGGAGGAGGAAGATCTTTTTCTCTTAAAACAGGGTCTCACTATGTAGTTTGGGCTGGCCTTGAACTCACTATGTAGCCCAGGCTGGCCTCAAACTCACAGCAGTCCTCCTGCCTCAGCCTCCTGAGTGCTGGGATCACAGGCGTGCACCACCACAACTGGTATGGAAAAGGGATATCTTGAGGAGAGGATTACTGACCACCCCATAGGAGCCCTAATGCTTTCCAAGTCAGTCTTGTGTCCCGCCCCAGGATGTAAGAGGCAAGGAGCAGGTAGACAGGGAAGTAGGACTCCTGCCCCCTCAGGTCATCTTCGGGATCCAGCTAATCGAGGTCCTGGCCCCCTTCCCTTGGGAGTTCAGCTCCGATTAGTTGACTATCAAGTCTCCCCAGGTCGCTTGCCTCACCCCTGGCAGGTAGGAGAAGTGTGTGTCCTTCATGCCAACTCTGAGGACAGCGTTGCAGGCTCTGAGGAAGCCCTTCTGTGTCCAGTCTACTACTGCCTGCATGGACCAAAGGCGGTCCCGGGAGAGCAGTGGGAGCCAGGGACTTGCCATCACCTCTTTCTGCCGTAGAAGAAACCCAGGGCAGCCAGAATGATGAGCAGCATGAGGCCCACGGGGGCGGCAGTGAGGAGGACGTGCAGGCCCCCTGCGTCCTCTTCCTCTGGTGGGCAGAGGGCACGGGGGTGGGGGCAGAGATTGACATCAGAAGACGGGAGGTGACGGTGGGTGGGACGGGTGGAGGGGTCTCTGGGGGGCATCTGGGGATGCAAATCTGTGTACCTGGGCCAGGGATGTAGAAGGCGACACTGTCTGTCCAGGAGCCGTTGCCGGCCAGTGACGTGGCCCGAACCCTAGCAGAGTAGTTTCCGGGGGGCAGCAGAGCCAAGTGGACCCCACCAACCTTAGCATATCGCAGACGGGACACACACAGCACCGTGGCCTCCTGGGGACGGCACAGAACATGCGGCTGGGAAGGGGACGGAGCATTAAATGCTGCTGACATAGGGGTGCCTTGTGTACGTACCTCTCCCAAGCGGCGGTACTTGATTTCGTACTTGAGGATGAGTCCATTGGGGTCAGGTGGCTCAAGCCAGCTCAATAGGATGCTGCTCTTGCTGGCCGCCTCCCAGGCCACTTTGCCCGGAATATCATCAGCCTCTCCTGCAGGAGGAGGGTATCTGGGAAGCAGGCCACAGGTGTTTTCTTTCTCTGGAGCATTCGAACCCAAGCTAACCCAGCAGGTTTGAGGAAGCCCTGGGGTTAGGGAACTGAGAGGGTTCTCAGAGGAGGGTCGGCATTTGGCTCTTGTAGGCCACGCCCAGGCCCACCACAGACCCGCCCCTCGCAGGCTCCGCCCAGGCCCTTCTCAGGCCCGCCCTCTGGCCCCATCCTCGCTGGTATCCTAATTCAGGAACAGTGCCGGTGTGCAGAAAGCTGTCAAAGTGTTCCTGGAACGCGGTCAGACCGCTAGTCAGGGCACTGACCGCAGAGGGTCCTTGGGATCAGTGGCGGCGCGGAAAGGGTGGGGCCACCTACTGTGGGGCATGGTGCGCGCGAAGACGAAGGTGGCCGCGCTGCAGCCCACGGTGTGCGCTGCGTGGTTGCAGGCGTGGATGTCGATCCGGTATTCCGTGAAGTGGCGCAAGCCGCCCAGCACCGCTCGTTCTCGGGGGACCTTGTCCTCTTGAATCTCAAAATCCGAGCTGTTTCCCCCTGGTCTGGGGGTCCCGGCAGCTCGGCGGTGCCGCCCCGCGTCCCTGAGGAGGAGGCAGGTCAGCGCCTCGCTTGGGTCTCGGAGCCCCGGCCCTCGGTGCCCAGACCGCGCCCGGCTCACCTCTGGAGGTTCCTGTGGATGGACGTCACCTTCCAAGGGGG